ACACCCTATGCCTACCGCAAATCAGGGTCACCCTTCTCTGGGGATGGGTGGGAGAACAGCAGTTGGAGCACAGGAGTTGTTCAGTTGTGGAGAAGTGCCCCCACAGCTTTCCCAGTCCCCTTGATCTGGTGAGGGTGTAGTGGAAGCTGCAGCTGGACTCCTTTCAATCATGGCGGAGTCAAGTGATTCGCTGTCAGGCCTAAGGTCAGGGAGGACCAGGTTAGAGAGCTTCTGGAGGGGCTGGACATATTCAAATCAGCAGGTCCAGATGCTCTCTGCCCCAGGGTGTTGAGGGAATTGGCAGGGGTTATTACGGGGCCCCTGGCATGGCTTTATGAGCACTCATGGTGCTCTGGCCAGGTGCCAGATGACTGAAAGAAAGCCAATGTGATCCCCATCTTCAAAAAAGGGAAGAGGAAGGACCTGGGCAACTATAGACCCATTAGTCTTACTTCAATCCTGGGGAAACTCTTTGAGAAGATCATCAAGGAGCACATCTGTGGTGGGCCAGCAGCAGGGATGATGCTCAAGGGCAACCAGCATGGTTTCATTAGGGGCAGGTCCTGTCAGGCCAACCTGACTGCCTTCTATGATCAGGTCACAAAAGCATTGGACGCAGGTGTCACGGTAGATGTAGTCTTTCTGGACTTCAGCAAGGCCTTTGACACTGTCTCCCATCCCATTCTCATCAAAAAACTAGTTGACTGTGGTATTGATGCCTACACAGTCAGATGGATTGCAAATTGTCTGAAGGGTTGTACTCAGAGGGTAGTGGTGGATGGGTCTTTTTCGACCTGGAGGGAAGTGGGCAGTGGAGTCCCCCAGGGCTCAGTCCTTGGGCCCTCACTGTTTAATTTCTTTATTAGTGACTTGGACAATGGGGTAACGGCAGCCTGTTTAAATTACTTGATGATATCAAGATTTGGGGTGAGGTGGGCAAGCTAGTAGGGAAGGACAGATTACAGCAGGACCTGGACAGATTAAAGGGATGGGCTAATGAAAATAGGATGGGTTTCAATACTGACAAGTGCAGGGTGCTGCACTTGGGCAGTAGGAACCAGCAGCACACTTATAAGCTGGGAAACTCCCTTCTCAAGTGCATGGTGGCAGAAAGAGATCTTGGAGTCATTATTGACTCCACGATGAACATGGGCTGACAATGAGAGGTCACGGTCAGTAGGGCTAACCGTACCTTGTTGTGCATCCACAGATGCATCTCAAGCAGGGCCAAGGAGATGATCCTCCACCTCTATGCGATACTGGTCAGGTCACAGCTGGAGTACTGTGTTCAGTTGTGCTGCACTTCAGGAGGGATGTGGACAGCATTGAGAGGGTCCAGAGGAGGGCCACTCACATGACCCGGGGACAGCAGGGCATACCCTATGAAGAGAAGCTATGGGACCTTAACCTGTTCAGCCTTCACAAAAGAAAGCTGAGGGGGGACCTGGTGGCCATCTATAAACTCACTAGGGGGGACCAGCAGGGTTTGGGAGAGACCCTGTTCCCCCTAGCGCCCCCCGGGGTTACAAGGAATAATGACCACAAATTGTTAGAGAGTAGGTTTAGACTAGATATCCAAAGGCACTACTTCACAGTCAGGGCGGCTAGGATCTGGAACGAGGTTCCAAGGGAAGTGGTGATGGCTCCTACCCTGGGGGTCTTTAAGAGGAGGCTTGATGTCTACCTGGCTTGGGTCATTTGAGCCCAGTTTTCTCTCCTGCCCAGGGCAGGGGGTCAGACTTAATGATCTACAAGGTCCCTTCTGACCCTACTTCTATGAATCTATATGTGTACTGGTGTTCAATACAATGGAAGAAACTCACAGAGAAAAGCTTCCAGGTATTAAGGTGGAAGATCTTTCTCAGAGAGGGTATGTTTCCTCTGTGAAAAACTGAACTTCATGTGCTACATTGGTTTTCTATAGTGCTACTGTTTTAATAAAAACTTTACGTGCTACTCAGACAATGATTTAGAGAAGTCTCAAATATGTCAACATAGTTACCTTTGCCAACTAAGCATGTAATCTCATCAAATACCAATATCAAATTTGTTGGACAAGATTTATTTTCCATAAATCTGTGTTGATTACCATGGCTTCTAATATTATACTTCAATTCATTATTGATTGTACCTGTATCAACCTTTCCATAATTTTGTCCTGCATCAATATCTAGGTAATTATAGCTACTCAGATCATCCAGTTTGCTTCTTTTAAGTAATGGCACAACAGAAAGCTTTTTTTTGGTCTTCTTAAATGCCCCCTGTAAAAATGTCTTGTTACATAGGAACATCAATGGCTTAGACAGCTCTTCAGCCAATTCCTTCAAAACTACCTGGATCCTGGAGAGAGAAAATTATTGTTGGACTAGGAAGGATTTCATAATCCCTCTATGAAGTGAATACATCCTCCAGCCTTTTCATCCAAATAAGGGGCACAGAATTTCATACATATTGCAGTCTGAGTGTCTTACTCAAACTCATAAACTTGCTCTGAAGCTCATGCCTAATATATCATATATCAGACCTGAAATCCAAGGGAATACTGCTCTTCCATTTAAAATTACCATCTTGCTCAAAATAGCATAAAATATAGTAGGAGTTGAGGAATAACTTGGTGGATTTCCAATTATTTCTATATTTATACTCAAAATATTCTTTCTGCTTCTTGATATTATATTTGTTGGATGGGCTCTGGAAAGAATAAGAAACAGGAAGAAAGGGTGATCCACACACCAGTAGTGATGTTTATTTAGGTTAACGAGTTGTAGAATTCTCCCTTTCTTCCGCTGTTCTCACACACACAGCATTTTCTGGTTTGCTGAGGTTCACTGGAAATCAGCTACTGAAAAAAGTTCTCCCCACCTAATTTAATTACTTTTCTCTCTTTTCCTTTTTTTGTCTTTGTAGTTGATTTAGTGCCATACAGTGTCCCAGATGGTCAGTCTGGGAAGCAGACACAAAGAGACAATGTTGATTCCCTTTGGACTCACAATGACCTCTTTTTTCACACTGGTTCACAGATTTTAATCCTCCCTAAACACAACATTTAAATATGGGGAGGAGGATGGGCTGCAACTTGAAACCAACTGAGCAGATTCAAGGAACCATGGCTGGCACTGGCAGAATATCATTAAACAGAGTCTGGTAGCTTTGTTTGCAGTAAGACTATAACCAGCTGGCCAAGCTATGCTTGACTAAGAATTAGACAAGGGAGGGAGGATAGTGTCTGAACAGGCAAATATATGAGAGGCAGTGTAAAATATAAAGGTGACATGCTCAAAGCAAGATCAAAGGGACAGTGAAGTAATGTTGGCTTTCTTTGGGTATTTATTCTTTGTCATGATGAACAGACTGAATCACTTAAAAGATACATGTGCTTCCACAACACTGCTGCCATTACACAATGTGAAGAAACAGTATTGAAGGCCAGACTTGACTTCATTAAAGTAAGCATATTAAAATGCTCCAGATTTAACACTGAAAGTACAGACTAACTTCATAGTTTCATAGTTGGTAGGGTTGGAAGGGACCTAAGCAGATCATCTAGTCCGACCCCCTGCCATGGGCAGGAAAGGATGCTGGGTTCAAATGACCCCAGCTAGGTGGCTGTCTAGCCTCCTTTTGAAGACCCCCAGTGTAGGGGAAAGCACCACTTCCCTTGGAAGTTGGTTCCAGTTCCTAGCCTCCATGACAGTGAAGTAGCGCCTCCTGATATCTAGCCTGAATCTACTCTCAGTCAACCGTCTTTTCTCCTTGTAGGGTCTGCCC